CTCAGCTTTGTGTTTTCTGACTCTTATCATGCCATCAGGGAAAATGGATACTCGTAGTAAGATAGAGCGTCTGTGGTTTCTCTATAGTCTTTCTTTAAAATAAAGTAGACCAGAGTTATTCAGCAAAAATAAATAAATAAATAAACGAATATTGTAATGATTCAGATATGTTAATGCATTTAACGAAAGAATAGCTCAACATTAGCACATACATTTAAAACCCAGCTTTAAATATGCTAATATTTCAGAGCTCAAATAGATTCAATTAGATTATTCCTTCTCAGCAGTCAGAAACTTCCCAGTTAGCAGTTCATGGATGCAAATTTACTTTATTTAAAGCTGTAAACTCTCCCAGACGTTGCATACAACCCCAGAATCTTCATGTTTCATACAAATCCATGCAATCAACCATGACTTATTGCTGTTTGATTCAATTAAGCTCCTCCCCACAAGGATTGATTGGCATGTGGCAGCCATATTGTTTACAAACCTCAACATGCTTATGATTATTTCTGAGGTTTAGAAACTACTGAGAATTTTTTGTAAAAAAAGAGAAAAAAAAAAAAAAAAAACCTTAGGACTAGTTTGCAAAAGTACGTTTAGCATATTATGCAAATTATCTAGAATTCGAGTGCGTGGGGATAAATGAGCATGTTTTTATGGCTTGAGGAAACATATCATGTGAAAAAAAAATATCACTGTACTGTATATTTAAGAAATATGTTCGTTTTTTTATTCCAAAAACATACATAGCATCCCAAGTGGCCAATCTGAGGTTACGTAAGGTACTAATGGGTCCATAAATAGACATAACACTTACATTTTATGACAGTAACTTAATGTTGACACGGAAATGGCTGATGAAATCTACCTCGCCAAAGATGACCATTTTTCTAATCAATCAGACACAGTCCAAATATTGTCCTAATGCTAATATCTTAGCTGGTGACTAACTCTTCAGTGATAACTTTGCTTGCTTCCAGACACATCACTCCTCACAGAGCTGTCACACTCTGATTATGTGATCATGCACTGTGAGAACTGAATCATGAGAACTGTCGTCAGAGTGACGCAGGTCGCCTAAGAGCTACTGACTGCTCATAGACTTTCAGGGAAAAAAAAAAAAAACAGGGAAAGTTCAAGTGCTGATATTGTTGTTATTATTATTGGAATCTGTGGTGAAACATTTCCTGTGAGTAATTTCCAAAATGCTGTTTTGTTAAATGTTCCTCTGCAGCACCTTCCCACAGTGCCGTTTCACTTGACCTTTATTACGGACTGATTCATAGATCAAAATAGACTTGGCAGAATACTAGCCAAGATTGTGCAAATTTACATTTACTTTTATACAGTGCCTTGCATAAGTATTCACCCCATTGAACCTTTCCACACTCTGTAGTATTACAACTGGGAAAACAGAAATGGACTAAATACGGACTAAATTTGGATTATATGTCATGAATTGACACAAAATACAGCATAGTTTGCAAAGCTATTTATAAATTAAAAACAGAAAGGTTGTGACTGCATAAGTGTTCACCCATGTATGCAAAAAAAAAAAAAAAAAAAAGGCATGTGATCCTACTGTTAAACAAACAGCCTTGTGAAGAGCAATGAGCTGTTAAAACAAATCCAGGACAAAGTCATAGAAAAGTGTCAATCAGGGTTTTAAGTATGTCAAACTCTGAACATTCTGCAGACCACCATTAAATATATTATTGAAATAATATGGCACAACTGCAACACTACCTAGAGCACGCTGTCCACCAATGGTTAGTGACCGGATAAGGAAGGCATTAGTCAGAAATGCAACCGAGGGTAACGCTCAGTATGATGCTACCACCATCGTGCTTCGCTGAGGTGATGGTATTCTCAGGGTGATAAGCAGTGCTGCTACTGACACTGGGCAAATAAGGAATATTTGCTCTGCTTCTATGTGAATGCCACCTGTTTTTTTAGTGAAGTTGCAAAGTAACCATCCGAGAGTTTTTTTTTTAATATTTGCTTTTAGTTATATTTGCTTTGGCTTCGTGCTTAGGTAAGACAGCAGAAGAACATATGGATGTAACTTAAGAATTCTTCCACAAAATCAGGGAGTCAGAAACACAGATCTGCCCTCTTGGATCAGCTGTGTAAAATCCATGTGTGAAGGACATTTTTATCCTGAGTGGCCCTACTATTCCTAGTGTTCCAATCTCAAGTCTGTGAAACCTAACTAATGTGAGAATTTCACTGATATTTAGCTCTAAAATCAGGCCTTTGAGGTAGCATTAGCGTTGTACATCTCCCATGTATTGATAAGTGTAAAACAAGTCTGTTTTTCTTTATATTTTTGTTTCTAAAACCCATGGGTAAATGATTTTTCCCATTTTCCCAGATAATGCCTAGATTACAAGAAGTTTCATCATACTCTTATCAGGTGGTGTGTTCTTTCCTATAATGTTTGAAATATCTAATGGACGATAAGCAATGAATTAATTTATTATTTAATTTGTGTATAAGAACAGTAGTTCATATTAACACTGCATATCTCTCTCTCTCTCTCTCTCTCTCTCTCTATACTTAGCAGATGTCTCCAGATGTGTCATCAGTGCCCTCTCTCGGAATAACTGAATAAAGCTGAGCCAGTAAGAGAACTGTGAGCCAGAGAGATGGTTAATAGAAGCAGTTCATTGCCCATGCATTCTTAAGCTATAGGAATTCCAAAAGAAATAGGTAAAAAAAAAAAAATTATATAGGTATATAAAGAACATTTATTACTTCGACTTTATTGCTATTTATTAGCATTTATTGACAATTAAATTTAATGTTAATTGTGTGCCACTTTCATCAACAGACATTGATGGTTTTCGATCTAGATCCCTAATGAGTGAGCCAGAGGCAACACTGGCAAAAGACAAAAAAAAAAAAAAAACTCTGAGACGACATGTGGGAAAAAAAATTCTTGAAAGGAGCCAGACTCAAAAGGGATCTCATCCTCTTCTGGGTGACACTGGAAAGCGGGATTTAGATAATTACAGTTTACACTCGTACAGTGAAAAGGCAAAAACGTATGAAATGCATTGAAATTATACAGGGCGTTGGATGTGATGAAAGGACACAATTATTAGCCTTGTTCTTTTTCTTTACCGTCACATGCTGAGTCTGAGGAAAAGGAAAGTCATGAGTTAGTTTCTGCCTTGCATTTCAAATGTAAAATTTCTTCCCATGAGTGAACAGGCTCATCGGACATGCTGTAAGAGCGAATTTGAATATCATGAGCCTTTCTACATAAAAGCTTAAGTAGCTCTATGAAAATTTCAGAAGATGATTGGGCATCTGTCACATGTTCATCATTAGGACTTAAACTGCAGCTCAGTGGCATCACACTCCATCTTTCTAATAGTGCTGTTTGGAATGGTTTATTTCCATCCATTACTCTTTTCTCCTTACATTTCACTGCTTGAACACACTGCTAAACCTCTGGCACGAGCCTCCGGTGGAGCACTAAATGGGTTTTTGCTCAGAGACCCCCCCCCCCCCCCCCGCTCTCTCTCTCTCTCTCACTCTCACACTCTCTCTCTCTGTATATCATTCTTTCTTAATATAACCTTTTTTTGCTCTTCCTCTTTTTACCTATTTCTCACCCTCCTCCTCGCACCTTTCTGCAGCTCCAGGTGTGCTCTGTTCCTGAAAGATTTCTGAGCAGAGTGCCTCAGAGCAGATGGCAGTTTGTCATAACAGTGTCTCTTAGCCTGACGCTGTACTGAGAGAAGACGGTCTAAAAACATCAACCGATCATCCATGACACATAGAACGCTCAACTCCTCTGCTCTGTAATTAAAGATCTGTGAAATTAGAATCTACAATTATTTGAATTAAAAGGACTTTTTTTAGTACATTTATCCACCTTCAACCATACGAGGGCCATGAATCACTTCAGCGGAGAGCTTTAAGCAGCGATAAGTGTATGCAGCGATGTCTCTCTCGTGACATTGAATATGAGAGCTAAAAAAAAAAACCCACAATTTCCACTCACATTATGATTGTGGCTTATGGTACAGGGGCTCATCAAGACAAAAAAAAGCTACACCATTCATTGCTATTGTTTAAGTTTCCAGTCCATAAATAATGTGTCTACATAGCAGTCACGATAAACAGAAAAGCTGAGCTTGCTCTTAGCCGTGTCTTTCATTCAAACTACTCATTTGCTCCTTTGGGTAATTTGTTTTTTTTACTACACAGTGTTTGCTTAAGCTATTTACTTCTAGTTCCTTCTCCAAAGGAATTTTTGAAAAAGCGATGATTGGGAAAGTAATCCAACTCATTCATGTTTATTACACCCAACGGTGTATTTCACGTCTTCACGTGTGTGTTATGGATGTGTCGGCACAGCAGGCTTAAATAAATTAGCTCCAATGCTCACGAAATCTAGGGGGCATTTCACAAAGCTAGATGCATCAATATCATTTTTCAGACTGAATACCAGCACTGCAAAAAAAAAAAAAAAAGACATGCAAGCAAGTGAAAATATATTGAATATAGTCACATTTATCCAGCATTTCCTATTCTATGATTGTAATAAACTCCAAAAAAAAAATGATGCTCAACATATTGTTCTTTTGGCAAATAACTGTGCTAATTTGAAGCATTTAGTTCTAGAAATAAGCAAAATGATCTGCCAATAGAACGAGAAATGTTAAAGCTTGAAATTACTATAAATGACTAGAAATGGATTTAATAATCTTATTGCAATCTTATAATACAAAATACCAGTTGAGTATATTCAATCTATTTTTCCTTTCCTGTAATTTCCTTTGATGTAATTTTTTGCAGTACTCGTTGAGATCAATATACTGATTCTGATCTTAGTATTACTCCATCGGGGTATCATGGAAAGTTTTATTTTTCTCTGATATGTGGGTTGCTTTCATGTGTTGCTAGCAGTGAACTCCTCCTGATGGGTTTTATGTTTAAGATGTTATAGCATTTAAACAGTATATTTAATAGAGACTGGGGGCCCCTGGCTAGTTGAGTGGGTAGAGCATGAGACACTTAATCTCAGGATGATGGGATTGAGCCCCACGCTGGGCACCAAACCCAGCCACTGAGGTACCACGAGCTAGTGTGCTCTTAGTGCTGGTATCCTGCGTAAATACCTGTGGCCAATCAAATATGTGGATCATAAACCGGATTTCCATAATGGAGATAGAGGATCCACTGTGGTAACCCCTAACGGGAGCAGCCGAAAGAAGAACAACAACTTGTTGGACTTTAATAGACTGTGACTGACCTGAGAGCAAAAAGCTCTCTATCAGCGAGTGTAGTCATTTAAAAATAAGCGCAAGGTGCCATGAATTGCGTCTTGATTTGAGAGCAAAGGGTAGACCTTGGTGAGTCTGCACACTCACTTCACTTTAAAACTTTTGTGCGTGTGCAATTCATGGCTTCTTGTACTCATTTTAAAGCTGTCAGCATGCTTCCTGTTGAAGATACTGTTTGAACACTATCAAATGTTTATCAGGGTATTTGTAGGAAGATCTAGTAGCTTCTCTTGATATTGTTGCAGTTTGCTATCTACTTTGTTTTGATTACCATAATTAATCATGAAATACATTCAGAACACTTCCATTTCATGAAATGAATTGGTTCAAGAACATTGGTTAGTGCAAGAATGTACAGTAGACGTGATACCACGCAGTATCAAGTGGTATTGGATGCTGGTATCGGAATTGATGCATAATAATCCCTACACCAATGTAATCACTTGACACGACTGTTAATGATAGACTGTGTGAATCTACACTCTGGGCTAGAAAGAAATCAGCCCCAGGCTCTACTTCACACCACTTCATACCATGTTCATTTTTACATATAGTACAACAGTTGGTGGTGATGTTTTTCTTGGTTTCACAAAAGTCAAAAATAATCCACTTTAAGCCGTGTGTTTACAGAAGTTAAGACTATATGGATGCCAGGAACCTATACCCTGTTTTGATGTCATTTTTTTCCTTGAAAGAGAGGGGAGGCTCTGTCCCACCAGTCCATTTATACCAGCCAGCCCTGAGTGTATGGGCATGTGTGAAATAGAGAAGCAGACAGATGCACAGGTGAAAAAGGGCATATTGTGTGCTACATAATAAGTCGAGGGGACTAGCCAGAAAGAAATAAAATCCAAATGAAAAAATCAGAATTCAGTCAGGATGAGATCTTCTTTGCAGCAGGCCTCTCAGTCAAAGGGAGTTTATTACTTGTATGATCCTCTCTGCCTTATAGCCTGTCTTCAGAAAGGGCCTTATCTCTTTAATTTTCTTCTTGCCGGGTCACGACGAGCATTCCTGCTGTTTGCCAAATAACATGAGAGAAAAGTGTCGGCTGAAAAGAGCCCTCTTCATCCATTTGTTATAAGAGGCAGAATAGTGATTGGGTTTTAGAAAGGACAGGAGGGTGTACATGGTACGTTTAGAGCTCAAGTACTTCACATGCTTGGAATTGTGTCTATTTAATGGAAAATAAAGCACTATGTATTGCATTTGAGTGAAGTGTCAGGGTGAAGGAGGCTACAGCATTGAATACATAATCACAGAAGCTCTATCAAAAGCAGCTGGCTGTCACCAATTTCCAGCAAGAAAGGCATAAGACTTCCATCTGCTACACTTACCGCTCGGTTTTCAGTTTCTGCTTTTAAAGTGTGTTAAGACACAGGCAAATGTGATCAAAGCTCCTCTTTTCCTTGAAGTCTTTAGGCCTACAGCTTACAGGAAAAAAAAAATCTTATGAAACCACATTGAGTTCTTAATGGATGTAGATATTTCAGTACATGATCACACCTCATTGATTTGGCTACATAAGGGTCTTATTTAAGGATGTATCCATAAACAAACAGACAAAAATAAATGAATCTACAGTTTGACCAGGAGCAGGATTCATGAAAAAATGTTAAAAAATACCTCCAGAATTTAGGAGGAAACTTAAAAATGGACAGGATTATCTGTTTAACACTCACTCTTAAAACAAGTTCATTCACAATGCTTCTAAAACTGAAAACGATTAAGGTGCTTTCACGTATGTTGTTTTCACATCTTTTGAAATGGAACCCTGGTGTGTTTTCCCCTCAGTGCCGTTCTTTGGGCAGATGAGAACACAGCAGTCACAATGCGAAAATGTTTCGACTTAGAATCAATCCAAATGCAGGATCCTGCCATGTGTTTTGGGTTGCATGCTGTTTATTTTAGGGGGCAGGACGCATTTTTTTTGTGCAGATGGGAACTGCTAAACTGAGCCAAAATTACAGAGAGAGCTGTAGCACGGCAGAAATGTCATGTGTTCTGGACATTTGGACCAACAAATAAAAGGAGAACATAAATGCTGGATGTGATGCACAAAATGTTTAAAACTAAGTAATTTAGCATGTTCTCGTGTTTTAGACTACTGTCGTGTTCTGCAGATCGCCCAGGAGGAGTTGGAGTGGCTCGAGAAAGGAAGAAAGTAACGAAGAAACAAAGAAACAAAGAGGAAAAAGGAAAGGAGAAAGTAAGAAAGATCATGGGAGAGGGAAAAAAAAGAGGAAAAACTGAAAGAATATTACAAAAAGACAGGGTAAGTGAAAAAGAATAAGAAGACAACTGTTAGACTTAGATAACTAGAACTGGAATTAGATTTGGAAGGTGAATGGGAAATAGAATTGGAATTGGAATTAGAATTAAAATGGGAACTATAATTGGAATTGGAATTAGAATTAAAATGGGAACTATAATTGGAATTGGAATTAGAATTAGAGTTAAAATGAGAACTAGAATTGCAATTAGATTTGGAATTAGAAATGGGAAATAGAATAGGAATTGGAATTGGAAACAGAATGTGACTTGACAGTATGTCCACAGTCTGTAAATGCTGGTTGGACTGTGTGTAAAGTATTCATCTAAACATCACTGCAACGTCAGCTAAAGTCTGTGCCACTGCAGGTTAAGTCAGAGTGCTTTGCTTCTAAACCCAAAGATAACACTTTTGTACGGTTATAATACATGAAAAGGCAATGCCGCATGCTAATGTGCGCATGTGCTCATTGTATTAACATAGCTAATCATGCTTACAGAGAGGGTCGCGTGTTCACACTCCCTCGCCTTTTCTGAGTTAATCAATTGCAGCATTTCGATCAATGGCAGCATCTCTTCTCATCAGCTAGACGTCAAAGAAAACATTTAGCGTGCTGCGAACGAGTCATTATTTTCTTCATCGTTTTGTTCCATCCTTGGACCGGCATGCGTAGGCGACGCGCAACTGCCAGGCGCGGTAATTTGAGGGAAAAAAAACGAGAAAAAAAAAATCAGCAAGAAAGGAACCTTTTCAATCAGAGACGTGAAGGCTGCTCCTGATTGTGCAGCCAAGGCAGAGGAAGCGGATCCAGTTTGAGACGAGCGCATAGCAAAACAAAGCACGCCTCGTTTCCCAGCAAATAAGAGCCTCTAATACAGAGCGAGATCGGCAAACCCCGTCACATCCGACACAGCAGCAGCCTCCCTAAAAGTTTTCTTTTGCATTCCTCCTCACCCTCGCTTCCTTTGTGTGAGCATGTCAGAGAAACAGAGGAACTGGGAATGAATGGGGAATTTTGTACACATGCAGCACTTTCTTCATCTTCCACCCGAGGCGAGAGCTAGTTTGACTGGAGGAAGCACTAAATCTTTTAGCCTGCTTATAAAAGCAACAATGCCTGAGTGTGTTTCTGTGTTTTACAGTTTTATGCAACTATAAAATTGTTTTATGATATTCATTCTATTTAAAATCACACTGAACGCTTTGCTCCAAATACACTGCTTGATAAATCTGTCAGTCTTTTGAAGTATAGCAGATGTCAGATAAGACTTAAAACTTATTTCCAGCTTTATTTAGTGGTTACATCGTTTCTGCATGTAAAATAGTTCGGCTCTAAACTTTTTCCTACACATGTTCTGTAACACTTTCTTATAATAAGCAACAAATCAATATTTAACTAATGCTTTCATAATGATGAATTAATACATGCACTAATCAGGTAATAATGAAGCGTGCTCATCAACAGCCTCTGAGTCATACATGAATAGCTATTAATAATGATAATAGTTAAGCCTTAACATGTTGTTAACCCATTCTGTTAATTAATATCATGACTTGTGCATTATTTGTTTTTTGTTTTTTTCAGGTACATTAATTATTAACCTTTACATTATGAAAAGTCTGCTGCTGAATATTTGTTTTCCAGCACTCCTAAACTCTAAACTAAACCTAACCCTTTATTAGAAATAAAAATGAGATACATATTGTTCAAAATTACATCTATCAAAGGTGTTTTCATACGTGGTTTGAATAGACAAGTCTGCACTCAGGACCGATTCTGGGTTCACTTGGGGGGTGAGGCTCATTATCGGTTTGCCCTCACATTGAAGAATTCCTTCCCAGCCGTGGATTGCTTGCACAATTCCATACATCACTTTTGTACATGCAGATTTGCTCACTAATCTATGTGTGCGCTTGGATGGGTTATATGTAGAGCATAAATTCAGAGTATGGGTCACCATTGTCCACTCGTCACTTCACTTCAAATTATTTTCAGCAGATACAACTGAGCACTTCAAAAAGTACTGTAACAGAACCAATAACTTCTGTGGCTCCAGTTTTTTGAAGCATGAACCATTTCTGGTTCTACAGCAGATCTGATGGAGCCAATCGTGCACATTTATTTGAATGATTTAACTGAAGGCAGCTCATTGAGAAAGAGAGAGATTTACCCTCTCTGGTCTAATTACTGAAGTGAGGACATGGTCAAAGACATATCCCTGAACTATATGCCGAGTGTCAGTAAGGTGTGCTAAAATGTCTCTGTCTTCTTTGGCTAATAATAAAATAAAAACTCTAGACTTTCAACCCCCAGCTCCAGTCATCGTTAAATGGGATCCTGCAGCTCAGTTGATCCTCTACTAGTCCATGCATCTATAGAGCCATCTACTGGCACCACAAAGAACTGCACCCCAAGCTGCCAAACATGTCAACTCCATGAAATTAACCAAGGATGTATGCTAGAATGTTCTTTCAATATCCATGTGGGTTTCCTGTGA